GATCTTAGTAAGATTTTTTTAAGATCTTAGACAAATGTAAGCGAAATCTTACTAAGATCTTAACAAGATTTTTCTAAGATCTTAGTAAGATTTGAGTAAGTTTTTCACTAGGGTCTAATGATGAAATTTTTTTTGAAAGCATTTTTGACACTTAGGTCGAATTTTTCAAGTCATGTTCTTAGTTTGTTTGTGTCTCCTGATTTTTAATATTACTACTTAATTGTTTTTTGTTTTATTTCAGTTACAAATAAGTCTTCGTATATTCAATGTATTCGTGAGTCATTCCAGTTTGTTGAACATTATTTTCGAACGTTGTTCATGGATAAAGACAAGAGCTTTCATTCAACGTGTATTGAGACTTTAACACCAGCAAAATTAGTCATTGAATTAGAATCATCGTCTAAATTTTTATCGAGCGATGAAGATCGTCCTTTGAATGATATCGCATTTTTTGAACCACAAACAAAGCAAGCTGTTGAAAATCAACCGCTAATTATTTCGGGTTTCAATGGTATATATCTGCATTCAAAATCGACTATGACGTATGCTAAAGATATTAGAGATCGTTCACTAACAATGTTGGTGCCTACAACTGGAAACCGGTGGCACGGAATTCTAGAACATTTTTGTGATACGAATAAAACAAACGGTAAACAAAGAATTTGTTACGAAATGAGTATATGACAGGGGGTTGACGGAAAACGTCGAACGAAAAATGTCGATAAAAAAAGAGCAAAACGTCGAACTGGAAAATGTAGAAGAACAAAATGCCGAAAAGGCAAACGTCGAAAGCGGATAATGGAAGAAGGAAAATATCGAAAGAAAAACGCCGAAAAGGAGATTTCTTTCTGTTCCTTTGAAAATCACTGAAAGCGGGGGTGAGGTGAGGGTGAGACGTTCATCGTAGCAGCCATACTGAACTTCATCATACTTTACTTTTTCGACGAGTGGCTATAATTCCTTTTCGGCGTTTTCCTTTCGATATTTTCCTTCTTCCATTATCCGCTTTCGACGTTTGCCTTTTCGGCATTTTGTTCTCCTACATTTTCCTCTTCGACGTTTTGCTCTTTTTTTATCGACATTTTCCTTTTCGACATTTTTCCTTTCTATATTTTCCACCAAGACCTATGACAGATCCAGAGATGCATAATTTACCCTTGAATTTACAAATTTTCCATAGTGTAGCCGTAAGGAGGGGTTTTGGGAAAAAAATTTTTTCGTTGAGAAAATTCATTTTTTCTAAATAAGAGGCGAAAAACTCGGAATTCTGACCGTTATTCCCAATTTTCTCGATCAGAACTCAACTTTTGAACAATAAAATATCATTTTCGGAATCAGAATCAGAAACTGAGTCGATTGATATGTATGTCTATCCTATCTGACTACTTTGATTTTTTTCGAATTTTCATGTTGAAAAATTACCGAGATTTTCACTCAAAATTGAAAATCAATTAAAACTTACGAAATACAT